CTCCAATGTGGAATGGGAAAATCCTAAGAGGCATCCTAACCACTGCACCCAACTTCCACCCCTCCATGAGCTTTTTGAAGCCCTGTGTACACACGGAAGTGTATAGTTTAGTATTGTTCTTAGTTACACTTAAATATGGGGGAAGAACACCAAAATTTTCAGTTAGAATTAAATATGGGCGAGGAACACTCTACTATTTTAAAAATATTTTTATTATTATTTGAGAGGTAGAGTTATAGACAGTGAGAGGGAGAGACAGAGAAAAAGATCCTCCATCTGCCAGTTCACTCCCCAAATGGCCATAACGGTTGGAGCTGCGCCAATCCAAAGCCATTCTCCTCCAGGTCTCCCCTGTGGACACAGGGGCCCAAGCACTTGGGCCATCTTCCACTGCTTCCCCAGGCCACAGCAGATAGCTGGATCAGAAGAGGAGCAACCGGGACTAGAACCGGCGCCCATATGGGATGCCGGCACCACAGGTGGGGGATGAACCTAGTGCCACAGCACCAGCTCCAGCACTCTAACCTTTTATTGCTTAGAACCTCATAGTGTCTTTTTTATTAAAGATTATAGATTTATGTATTTGAAAGGCAGAATTACAGAGAGAGAGAGAGAGAGAGAGAGAGAGAGAGAGATCTTTCATCTGCTGGTTCACTCCCCAAATGGCTGCAACAGCCAGAGCTGGGACTATCCGAAGCCAGAATTCACGAGCTTCTTCCAGGTTTCCCACACGGGTGCAGGGCCCAAGTGGTTGGGTTATCTTCTGCTGATTTCTCAGACCATTAGCAGGGAGCTGCATCAGAAGTGGAGCAGTGGGGACTCGAACTGGCTCCCATATGGGATTCTAGCAACACAGGCAGCAGCTTTACCTGCTACACCACAGCACTAGCCTCTTCATAATGTGTTAATCCATGCCTGAACAAAGATGATTCATTCAACAAATAGCGATGGAGTGCCTACTACCAGTATGTGCCAGGCACCGTGCCTAGCTCTGGGTATGCAGATAAAATAGGAAGAGAAAAATCTCTTCTCTCATAGAACCAACATTCTAGTGGGGAAGAAAGATAGTAAGCAAATAAACAAAAACAAAGGCAAGGCCACAGGATTATAAAGAAAGAATGAGGGGGCTGGCACTATGGTGTAGCTGGTAAAAACCTCTGCCTGCAGTGCCAGCATCCCATATGGGCGCTGGTTCGAGACCTGGCTGCTCCACTTCCTCCAGCTCTCACCAGCATCCACATGGGAAACCCAGAAGTTCCTGGCTCCTGGCTTTGGATTGGCCCAGCTCCAGCCACTGCAGCCATTTGGGGAGTGAACCAGTAGATGGAAGACCTCTCTCTCTCTCTCTCTCTCTCTCTCTGCCTCTCTCTAACTCTGCCTTTCAAATAAATAAATAAATCTTTAAAAAAATACCCGAGGCAGGCTACCTATGAAGAAAGAGGCTTACTTATCTTACAGTTTTGGGAGTGCTGTGTGATATGCTTTGAACAGAGCCCTCTGGACCGCATCACATGATAGCAGAAAAGCCAAGGCAGGAGTGGATGAGGACATGATTACACCTCACACGGGAAACAGGAGATGGAGCCGGGTGGGGCCGGACTCAGGCTTTTACAACTGTCTCACAAGAATTACCCAGTCTCCCCAGAGGACAGGGCCCCCAAAGACCCATGGGCCTCTCACTGGGCCCCTCGTCCAATAGCACCACCCTGAGGACCAAGCTTACAGTACATTTTGACCCTTGGGAGACAAACCACATCCAGGCCATCACGGTCTTTCCACCGGGGAGAGTAGTCTGGGCAGAGGAACAGGTCCCTCCAAGACTCCTCAGCAAAAACACGGTGACCTGTAAAGAGCTGACTGTTGCCGGAGCCTCGAGGAGCCCAGTGAGGCTCACGAGTGTGAAATAAGAGTGGGATGAGACTAGAGAAATAGGACCTCCTGGTCCACAGTAAGGAGTCTGGATTCTATTCTAAAAGATTTAAGCAGGTTAGTACATGATTCACTTAAGAGGATATTTGCAAGTAAGTATAAGAGGTTAATTGTTTAAGAGAGCTTTAGTAAGATCTCCCTTTTTTTTTTCAACTTTTATTTAACAAATATAAATTTCCAAAGTACAGCTTATGGATTACAGTGGCTCCCCCCCCATAACTTCCCTCCCACCCACAATCCTCCCATCTCCTACTCCCTCTCCCATTCCATTCACATCAAGATTCATTTTCAATTATCTTTATATACAGAAGGTCAGTTTAGCATATATTAAGTAAAGATTTCAACAGTTTGTACCCACACAGAAACACAAAGTGTAAAATACTGTTTGAATACTAGTTATAGCATTAATTCACATTGTACAACACATTAAGGACAGAGATCCTACATGAGGAGTAAGTGCACAGTGACTCCTGTTGTTGACTTAACAAATTGACACTCTTGTTTATGGCGTCAGTAATCACCCTAGGCTCTTGTCATGAGTTGCCAAGGCTGTGGAAGCCTTTTGAGTTCGCTGACTCCAAAGATCTCCCATTTATTATCAAATTTAGAAGCTCCCTTTTCCAGCTTGAAGCGAGCATTTTTGATAATTTAGTTAACTGTAAGAAATCCCTTCAATGACCCAGATACAGTGCTGTGAGCCTAGCAGTCATGGATTCTTACAGAATGTATGGACGGGCTTGAGTGTGTCCAGGAGTCCCTGATATTCTCTATACATGTGCTTTTGTGTGTCTGCATGTGAGTGATTCTCTTTATTCCTTAACAGAAATTAAGTATTGAATTTTTTTTTTGGACAGGCAGAGTGGACAGTGAGAGAGAGAGAGAAAGGTCTTCCTTTGCTGTTGGTTCATCCTCCAATGGCCACCGCGGCTGGCGCGCTATGGCCGGTGCATCATGCTGATCTGAAGCCAGGAGCCAGGTGCTTCTCCTGGTCTCCCATGGGGTGCAGGGCCCAAGCACTTGGGCCATCCTCCACTGCACTCCCTGGCCACAGCAGAGAGCTGGCCTGGAAGAGGGGCAACCGGGACAGAATCCGGCGCCCTAACCGGGACTAGAACCCCGTGTGCCAGCGCCGCAGGTGGAGGATTAGCCTATTGAGCCACGGCGCCGGCCAAGTATTGAATTCTAATCAGTTCAATGATACAAATACACACTTATTCCTAAGGAATTGAACGAGAAAGAGAGAAGTAAAAGGGTTAAAAATGTACAAGATTCCAGCAGTCTCGAAAGAGATGAAAAACATCAATGTTAAGACTTGTGGCCAAAAAAGAGCGAATAGCGTGAGCACTCTGTCACCAGCGTGTGGCCTTTAAGTGGCAGATATGTCAAAAGACATAAGAAGTTACAAAAACTAGCTGATTTTTCACATCAATTTGGCAATGATTTATAAAACGAGTAATCCCATGATTGAGTCAAGAGTGTGGAGAAACGGGCTTTCCCAATACAACTGGTAACAGCACAGATTGCTATAACCACTCTGGAGGGCAATTTGGCAACATGATTTCAAAAGTCGTTAAAAATGTACATGCTGCAATCCCACCTCAAGAATTGGTCTTAAGGAAATGAGAGGACTATTTTCAAAGACATATGAATCAGAGTTTAATCCTCACAATTACTAGAACCACAGTTTACAGTTAACTTGCGTGGGGTCACCCAGGAGGTGGAAGCGCTGAGCTAATTAACAGGCAGTACACTTCCCAGTGGCATCAAGAGCGTGTAGGTCCGATAAGCTGAATCAGAGGGCTCAGACTTTATGGAAGGTTAAAAATAGGGAAGACAAGCTTCTCAAATGAATACATAAATCTTTTTTTAAAAGATTTATTTTATTTATTTGAAAGAGCTACAGAGAGAGAGAGAGAGAGAGAGAGGTCTTCCATCCATTGGTTCACTCCCTAGATGGCCACAACGGCTGGAGCTGCGCCCATCCGAAGCCAGGAGCCAGGAGCTTCTTCCAGGTCTCCCATGCCGGTGCAGGGGCCCAAGGACTTGGGCCATCCTTTATTTGCTTTCCCAGGCTATAGCAGAGAGCTGAATCAGAAGTGGAGCAGCCGGGACTAGAACTGGCGCTCATATGGGATGCCAGTGCTTCAGGCCAGGGCATTAACCCACTGCGCCACAGCGTTGGCCCGAATACATAAATCTTTTTTTAAAAAAAATGGGAAGACGAGAGTTAGGGTTATTTTTTGTTTGTATGTGCTTTGTGTGTGTGTGTGTGCGTGTGTGTATTTTAAGATTTGTTTATTTATTTGAGAAGCAGAGCTACAGAGAGAGAGAGAGACAGAGAGAGAGAGAGACAGAGAGAGAAGTCTTTCATCAGCTGGTTCACTTCCCAAATGGCTACAACAGCTGGAGCTGGGCCAATCTGAAGCCAGGAGCCAGGAGCTTCTTTTGGGTCTCCCACATGGGTGTGGGAGCCATCTTGCACTGGCCATCTTGCACTGCTTTCCCAGGCCATTAGCAGGAAGCTGGATTGGAAATAGAGTGGCTGGGATTCAAACCACTGCCCACGTGGGATGCCAGTGTTGCAGATGGAGGCTTAACCTACTATACTACAACACTGGCCCCTGTGTTTTTTGTTTGTTTGTTTTTTTAAAGATTTATTTATTTATTTGAAAGTCTGAGTTACACAGAGAGAGGAGAGGCAGAGAGAAAAATCTTCCATCCACTGGTTCACTCCCCAATTGGCTGCAACGGCCAGAGCTGCGCTGATCCAAAGCCAGAAGCCAGGAGCTGCTTCTGGGTCTCCCATGTGGGTGCAGGAGCCCAAGGACTTGGGCCATCTTGTACTGCTCTCCCAGGCCATAGCAGAGAGCTGGATTGGAAGTGGAACAGCTGGGACTTGAACTGGCACCCATATGGAATGCCGGCACTACAGGCAGTGGCTTTACTGCTACACCACAGCACCTGCCCCATTGTGTTTTTTTTTTTTACCAAATATTTATTTTTTTTTTATTTTTTTATTTTTTTGACAGGCAGAGTGGACAGTGAGAGAGAGAGACAGAGGGAAAGGTCTTCCTTTTGCCGTTGGTTCACCCTCCAATGGCCGCCGCGGCCGGTGCGCTGTGGCCGGCGCACCGCGCTGATCCGATGGCAGGAGCCAGGAGCCAGGTGCTTTTCCTGGTCTCCCATGGGGTGCAGGGCCCAAGCACTTGGGCCATCCTCCACTGCACTCCCTGGCCACAGCAGAGGGCTGGCCTGGAAGAGGGGCAACCGGGACAGAATCCGGCGCCCCAACTGGGACTAGAACCCGGTGTGCCGGCGCCGCTAGGCGGAGGATTAGCCTAGTGAGCCGCGGCGCCGGCCAGCCATTGTGTTTTGTTTTTAATAGACAGACTTTAAGCAAGAGAAAAACTGGATCGCATTTACATTTTACTATGTCAGGAATGGTTCGGTGGAATAGGCAGAAAACAAAATAGGAAACAATTGTACGAGGTAGAGAACTAACTAGGAAGGGAAAGAAGACTGATGCAAGATATCAGAAAGCCAGAATCAAAAGGACCTGGTAACCAACTCCATATGAAAAGGTGGTGCCAAGGATGACCCCTAATTCTCTGACTTGAGCAAATGGCCGTGCTGCCTGTCACGGCAAGAGCAAGGATGAGAGATTGTGTTGTGTGTGTCTGCATGCCCACAAGCTCACATGTGCATTCGTATTTTTGGTTTGTTGTATTTACTTTTTGTATTTTGTATGTGTTCATTTAGTCATTTCTTGCAATTTGTATTTTGTATTTATCCACTTCTTGTATCTCAAGTACTTTTTGATGACATGCTTGACCTGAGATTCTTTGCCATAGTCCTTAACCACTACACAACTGCCACCAACCACTTGTTGGAGTTTTCCCTCTTGGTCTACTGAGGCCTCACCTTAATCACACAGAGTTCAGGGCCTGTGGACCCTCAGGAGGAGTCAACTACTGCATTTGTGGATCTGAAGATCAGAGAGAATGTTGGTGGGCAGGAGGTAAAGATTCAGAATCCATTCATCATATTTAGTTGCATTCATAGCCAGTGGACGAGATTGCCTGGAGAGTGATAGAGAATGTAGAGAATCAAGGCAATAGTGAGATTTAAATAGGCACACAGGGAGGCTGATAAGTAGATAGAACAGCAGTGGAGGCAGCTGTTACAGAATGCTAAGTTCCAAGCAAGGAAAAAATATGCTTTCAGTGGGTTAATGCCTCAGGGGAGCTCGTGAGATAAGAGCTACCAAAAAAAGAAAAAAGAAAAAAAAAACTTTCTTTGATTTAGCAGTAAAATCAGAAGAGATTTGTGGAGAGTAATTTCAGCAAAGACAACCTTGCTGAAGCAGTGAGTTAAACAGGAATGAGAAGGAAGAAGATGCAAACAGTGAAATATAAGCTACTCTTCCAAAACCCGTGAGTGTTAAGAGGAGAAAAATAGGATAATACCTAGTTAGAGAAAGACATAGAACATTTAAACCAGATAACTAAGGTTCTGTTTTGTTTAAATCAGGCAGTTCCTTACAAACAAGTATTAAAGAAGTGAAAATATCTCAGTTGCAATCTGAATAAAGTTGAAGTCGGACTTTCACTATTTACAGCCTCAACGTTATTTTCAATAATTCCTACACACATTTGGGTTCTTCTCAAGGTTATCTGGACAAGTCTTCTAATAACTAGAATAACTAGAAGGATCACTTCTAAACTCAGATGTATTTATCTTTGTTTTTAAAATCATTTGTCCATACATTTGGAAGTTAGAGAAATAGACAGAGAACTCCCATCCACTGGTTCACTTAAAGGCCTGCTATGGCCACTGCTGGGCCAGGCCAAAGTGAGGAGCTGAGAACTCAGTCTGGGTCTTCTATGTGGTGGCAGGCACCCAGCTATTCAAACCATCACCTGCTGCTTCTCAGGAAGTACATTAGGAGAGAGCCGAAATCGGGAGACGAGCCGGAACTCAACTCCAGGCACACTGATGTGGAACACAGGTATCACACTGACAGCTTAACGGCTAAACCAAATGCCTGCCACTATGTTTATAACCAGAAAAAAATGATGGTGGTGGTAGGGAAAACAAATTTTTTAAAAAGTTAAAAAGAAGACTTTTTAGTAATGGCTTGTAATTTGTGTTGATTATTGATTCACAACTTACCAAAACTTTAAATGTAAGTAGTGAATTGCTAATTTTTTATTGTACTTCCAATTATCCCAATGAATTATATATTATTCTCTTAAACTTCAGAATAAAGCCAAATTTAATTCACTTTAGTAATTGAAGGCCTTATAGCATCTTTAGCATGAAGTATATATACAGAAATTGAAAAATTAGAAAACAGCAGTAAGGGTGCTGTAACAAACAAATATCATGAAACACTATTTTAAGTGAATATGGCTTCTTTTCATTTGATTCTGAAAGGAGATAACTAGAATGAAGACAGTGATGTCTTTTTTTGTTGTTGCTGTTTTCTTTTTTAAAAAAATATTTATTTATTTATTTGTTTGTTTATTTGAGAGGCAGAGCTACAGAGAGAGAGAGCGAGAGACAGAGAGAGAGGTCTTCCATCTGCTGGTTCACTCCCCAAATAGCCACAATGACCAGAGCTGGGTCAATCTGAAGCCAAGATCCAGGAGTTTCTTCAGGGTCTCCCACATGGGTGCAGGGGCCCAAGAATTTGGGCCATCTTCTACTGCTTTTTCCAGACCATAGCAGAAAGCTGGTTTGGAAGAGGAGCAGCTGGGACACAAACTGAACCAGTGCCCATATGGGATGCTGGCGCCGCAGGTAGAGGCTTAGTCTATTACAACACTGCGTTGCCCCATTGTTATTTTCTTATGTAAGGAAAGTGCTTTAAAAAAAAAGTGTCTGGGGCCCAGCCTTGTGGCACAGTGAGTTAAGCTGCCACCTGCAACACTGGCATTCCATTATGGACACCAATTCAAGTCCTGGCTGTTCTACTTCTGATCCAGTTTCCTGCTAATGTGCCTGGGAAATCAAGAGAACATGGCCCAAGTACTTGGGCCCTGCCACCCACGTGGGAGACTCAGATGAAATACCTGGCTCATCGTTTTGGCTTGACCCAGCTCTAGCCATTGCGGCTATCTGGGGAGTGAACTGGCAGATGGAAGATCTCCCCCACTTTCCCTCTCTCATTGTCTCTCCCTCTGTAACTCTGCCTTTCAAATAAATAAATAAATCTTGGGGCCAGTGCTGTGGCGTAGTGGGTAAAGCAGCTGCTTGCAGTGCCGGCATCCCATATGGGCGCCAGTTCAAGTCCCAGCTGCTCCACTTCTGATCCAGCTCTCTGCTGTGGCCTGGGAAAGCAGTACAAGATGGCCCAAGTCCTTGGGCCCCTGCACCCGTGTGGAAGACCTGGAAGAAGCTCCTGGCTCCTGGCTTTGGATCAGCACAGCTCTGGCCATTGCAGCCAATTGGGAGCAAACCAGTGGATGAAAGACCTCTCTCTCTCTCTCTCTCTCTCTGCCTCTCCTCTCTCTGTGTAACTCTAACTTTCAAATAAATAATGAAATAAATAAATAACTAAAATCTTTAAAACTAGGTGTCTGTTTTTGAAAAGGCCTATGTGTTTTTAAGGATTTTTTCTATTTTCTGAGTAAACACAGGTCTGAATGTGCTGTTTTAAAATTCTCAGTGGCCTTCTGGACAGACAATGACAACTCTTTTTAATTTTTTTTTTTTATTTATTTGAAAGGCAGAGTTACACAGAGGAGAGGTGGCAGAGGGTGGGGGTTGGGGTCTTCCATCCACTGGTTCACTCCGCAAATAGCCACAATGGCTGGAGCAGGGCCAATCCAAAGCCAGGAGCTAGGAGCTTCTTCTGGGTCTCCAATGAGGGTTCAGGAGCTTAAGGACCTTGGGCCATCTTCTACTGTTTTCCCAGGCCATAACAGACAGCTGGATCAGAAGTGGAGCAGCTGGGACTCAAACCGGCACCCATATGGGATGCCAGCACTGCAGGCGGCGGCTTTACCTGCCATGCCACAGCACCGGCGCCAACAATGATAACTTTCAATGCATGTTTACAAAAGCAAGCACTTCCTTTTAGGACTAGTCTTTAAGCACTGAACTTGTTCAATGTTGGCTATACAGTAAGACAGGATATTCTGACCTAATATCAAAATACCATTTTAATTAAAGACACTTGAAAATTTACATAAGCTCAATCTTCAAATGTTTTGATGAAAAAGATCTATTCCTCTAGTTTAGGTCACTATTTTAAAAAAATTACCATTATCAAGTCAAATACACAACAAGCAGCTCCTTCTGCAAGGTATGTTTTGGGGTCTCAGCTTTCATAAAACTCTAATAATTGAATATGATTATTGTCTTTCCTATCTTACAGTGGAGGAGGAAACTGAGGCTGAGAAAAGATAAGGCGTTTCCTCAAAGACACAAGGCTGGTAAACAGCAAGTTAGGAACTGCACCCAAGTCTTTGGTGAGAAGAAAAACACAAATATAAAAGACAACATCACATATATAATATCACATATATAATATCAAAATAACATCACAAGCAATGTCAGTATCTTAAAATATTTGTGAGGAAGAGAGACAGAGAGAGCGAGAAGCTCCCATACTGGGTAGCTTCCCCAGTGCCTGCAACACAATGTCAAAGCCAAGAGGTGGGATCAAAGGTCAGGTCTCCCACATGGGTGGCAGGAACCCACTCATTTGGGCCCTCACTGCTGCCTCCCAGGGTCTGTATTCTCAGGAAGCAGGAGTCAGGAGCCCGCATGGAACCCCGATGCTCGGCTATGCAACGTGGACGTCTTAACTGCTAGTCTACCACCCACCTCAGCAATGTCACTATCTTAAAATGTACTTGTGTGATTCCTTGTCAGGCTTATTCAGATGTGAGTTATAAAAGAAAAAAATGAAAGCCTGCCGAGCTGGGGGCAGAGTCAGCCAATTGTACATTTCAGTTCTGTCACCCACTAGCTAAGTGACTTGAGGGAGACTTCCGTTTCCTCATCTGTAAAACGAAGATAATGAACACCAACCTTCCAGTGTCACTGTGAGATCTAAACAGAGCACCAAGCAAAGCAGCAAGTACAGTGCAATGCACAGCTGGTAAATTCTGCACACCGAGTTCTCCCTTCTTAGGAAAGACCATATGTAGAACCGGCTTAGATCTTGAACAATCTGTAGGTTGAATTGGGATATTAAAAATGAACGGAGAAGCTCATTCCAGGAAGAGAAAATAAGCACAGCAGGAAACACAGCAAGGAAAATGTGTTTGAAATAGTTTAACTGAAGCAGAACATTTTAATTTAATAGTATATAATAAGCCTAGAGAGCAGTTTGGGGCTAGATTACATCCGGCCTCAGCCAAGGAATTTAGGTTTTGTAAGTAGCAAGGAATGATGGAAAGTTTGTTTTTTTTTTTTTAAATTACTTTATTTGCTTTCAAATAAATAAAATAAATCTTTAAGGAAAAAAAAGGGGGAGAGGCGGTGCTGTGGTGAGCAGGATAAAGCCCTGGCCTGAAGCGCTGGAATCCCATATGGGCGCCGGTTCTAGTCCCAGCTGCTCCTCTTCCAATCCAGCTCTCTGCTGCGGCCTGGGAAAGCAGTAGAAGATGGCCCAGGTGCTTGGGCCCCTGTACCAGCATGGGAGACCTGGAAGAAGCTCCTGGCTCCTGGCTTCGGATCGGCACAGCTCCAGCACTGCGACTATCTGGGGAGTGAACCAGCGGATGGAAGACCTCTCTCTCGGTCTCTACCTCTCTGTAACTCTGTCTTTCAAATAAATAAATCTTTTTAAAAAATTACTTTATTTGCCTCATTTTCATTTCTAAATCAATGTAGGTTCATTGTAGAATGTACATCATAGAGAAGTATAAATGGCAGTGAAGCAAATACATATCACCTTATTCCAGGACTACCTCAGAGAGAGAGAACTTATTTTTATTGTTATATCTCTTGGTGACATTTTTCTCCCTAGGTTTGTTGAGGTATAATTGACACATAAAAATTCTATACATTCCAAGTGTACAACATGATTTGATATTTGTATATATTGTGAAATTACCACCATCAA